CCTTAGTCCACACCAACACTCACTCATCCTTAGTCCCCACCAACACTCACTCATCCTTGGTCCACACCAACACTCACTCATCCTTAGTCCCCACCAACACTCACTCATCCTTAATCCCCACCAACACTCACTCATCCTTAGTCCACATCAACACTCACTCATCCTTGGTCCTCACCAACACTCACTCATCCTTGGTTCACACCAACACTCACTCATCCTTAGTCCTCACTAACACTCACTCATCCTTAGTCCACACCAACATTCACTCATCCTTAGTCCCCACCAACACTCACTCATGCGTGGTCCTCACCAACACTCACTCATGCGTGGTCCTCACCAACACTCACTCATCCTTGGTTCACACCAACACTCACTCATCCTTATTCCACACCAACACTCACTCATCCTTGGTTCACACCGACACTCACTCATCCTTATTCCACACCGACACTCACTCATCCTTATTCCACACCAACACTCACTCATCCTTGGTCCCCACCAGCCCTCTTATCCTACTAACCTGTAGCCTCCTTCACATTGGGCGTTAGAGATAGTAAAAAAGAGCATCCCCTCTACTGGGGGACAACAGGGAGCTCTGTTCTCTTGGAGGAGACATTCATACCACATTCAGTGGTGCCACCTGGGCAGCCTGCAATCTTGCCCACTGGGACTGTACACAAACAGATATTGGCAGAAACAGGTTGGTGATTCTAATCCAATAGCAGCTCCTTCAGAGAAACATGTGGCATCCAGCTTCCTTGAGGGCATCCCAGATTAGGAAACACTTCCAGGCCATTCTACTACAGGGTTGCTGAGTTGCAATACATTTAAAAGCAGTGGGCTTGGGGCACCTAATCTTCCTAATGGTTATTATCTTCATTTTGGTTAAATATCTGTTACAAAGGAGCCCTGGTGGCATAGTATCTGCACCTTGGGCTGCTAGCTATAAACAAGGTCAGCAGTTCAAAACCACCATCCGCTCCACAGAAGAGAGCATAGATTTTCCACTTCTATAAAGAGTTACTGTCTCAGAAACTCACAGGAGAAGTTCTACACTGTCCTACAGGGTCACAGTCAACACAGCCCCATGGCCATTGGCTATGTAACAACATTTCAACCATTTTCATATGCACGAATGAGTAGCACCACTTGAGTCAAAGGAGCTCTGACAGCTAGGTGCTGGGCTAATGACACAAGGTTGGCAGTTCAAATCCAACCAACTCAGTGGGAAAAGTTGCCTATCTTCTCCCATAGGGACCGTTGTTGTTGTTGGGGGCTGATAAGTCAGTTCCAAGTCATAGCAACCCTGTGTACCACAAAGAGAACACTGGCCAGCCCTGGGCCAGCCTCACATTGTTCTTATGTTTGAGCCTGGCGGTGCAGCCACGGTGTCAATCTATCTTGTGGAAGGTCTTCCACTTTGTCACTGCTCCTCTACTTTCCTAAGCCTGATGTCCTTTTCTGGGCAGTGGTCCCTCTTGATAACATGCCCAAAACACGTGAAGTCTCACCATCCTTGCCTCTAAGGAGCACTCTGGCCAGACTTCTTCCAAGACCGATTGGTTTGTTCTTGCGGCAGCCGTGGTACTTTCAATAATCTCCACCAGCACCACAATTCAAATGTCTCCATTCTTCTTTGGTCCTCCTTAGACCATGTCCAACTTTCACATGCGTATGAAGCCACTGAAAACGCCATCGGTTGGGCCAGGTGCACCTTAGTCCTCAAAGTAACGTCCTTGCTTTTCAACACTGAATGAGGCCCTGTGCAGCAGACTGACCTGGTGCGATGCCTTGGTTGCTCGCTTGACTGCTGCTTCCATGAGTGCTGATTGTGGATCCAAGCAAGACAAAACCCTCGAGGACTTTAAACTTTTCTCCCCTTGTCATGGAGTTACCTACTGGCCCAGTTGTGAGGATGTGGGCCTTCTTTAGACTGAGTGGTAATCCATGAAGACAACAGCACACCCCCCCACCCCACCCCCCCGCGAGCCGGCGGGGCAGTTCTACTCTGCCCCATGGAATCACTATGAGCAGAAGAAACAGAGGGGACTGCGGTGCAGTGAATTGTTTGAGGCTTTTCTGGCCCTGGTTAGTTTGTTTAACCCAACACAATTCTTTCCCCAGGTGCATCTGTGTCAGCAGGTGGGGGAGATACTGACTGCCTTATCTGACCCAGCTGTGAGTGGGTGCCCTCCTGCGGGGTAGAATAAGGTGAGCCATCTCTGCAGCAGGGGAGGGATCTCACTTCTAGCCAGAGCAGTGGGTCAGGAATGGAGAGTGTCCTTCTGACCCTGCGTCTGGCTTGCCCCTCTCTGCTCATCAGCTTCTGCAGCTTGCAAACGAGGAGGATCCGCCAGGTGGACATCTGGATTTTGTATGTGGGACTTACCAGCACCCACAACTACATGAGCCATTCTCCTTCATGCGAGTTCGGGGTAACCACAGGGCGGCCAATCGCAGCACCCTGGGTCACAAAAGAATCTACTAAGGGGAGGATTGTCCTCAGGGACAATGGAGCAGCACACCATTCTTTGAAAA